AACGAAGAATGGGTAACACTGGTTTATTGGTCTAACCATCATAGAGGATTAAATCCTTGACTCAAAAAAACATCAAAGCAAAATAACTGGTTTTTTTGTGTCCTTCGCTAATTAAAGCTGAAGTATAATCTGGGTAACACTGTCCACTGCTTCTGAGATAAGAAGCATGTCTTCAGAATGCTGGCAGAGCGCTGGCTTCAACAGCTTGATCTCGCGTTTGAGATCCCCCATTGCAGCAACCATTCCCGCCGTTTCCTCTCTCACTTGGGTTATCTCCACCTTGGCAGCAGCCGCTCTGGCTTTCATCCTCCTCAGAGTCCTCTTTTGAACAAAAGTTGATGAAATTAACCACATATCAATATATAACTAATATAAGTAAATTCATGGAGACGTGCATTAAAGAATGACATTAATAGCTAGGATTTGTTGAGAAAATAAACACAGTTACCTTAAACCTGCTGTTGCGCCTCAATCTTCCGTTACGGGTCTCCTTTTTTCTCTCCATTTAACTTCTCCTTGCGTCTCTGTGATATCATAAATATGCACAGTGAAGATCGATGTTAACATATATTTCTGTATAACAAAGGATTGAAAATGAATTTAAGAAACTTATATTTACCTGATTGAAGTATTATTTCAATGCTTCTATACTAAGTACTACTACTAGACTATGATCACACCAAAATTCTCTCCTCCTATATATAGCTAGAATGGTTGATAGTTTGGCGTTGTCTCCCACTAATAATTTGGCATTATCAACACTCCCAAATTGTGAAAATGAATCCTTATTGGTCATCTTATTTCACTAAATTTCTCGGTTAGGGGACGGCAGTAGTCGCTTCCAACTCGCTTCCAACTCTGAAGCACTGTTCACGTTTACCCTGATGAGGCTTTTGAGTTCGAAAATTTTTAAATTTTTTTTAATATCTAATGGCTAACTATATAAAAATAAATAAATTCTTTTTTCTTTAATCTTTCTTTCATTCAACTCAAAATTTAAATTTAATAATTTTAACTTAAATTTTCATACTTTTCGTTATCAAACCACCCCTTGAGTTAAAATTTTTAAATGGTCAATCTGCGTTTTACACCCCATTGGAGCCAAAAGGGAAACAAAAACTGCATTTTACACCACGTTCATATTTGTTCTGACGCCGTTTTTGAGTATTACCAATTTTTTATTTTTAAATGGTCTTTCTTCTTCTATCAAAAAAAAAAAAAAAAAGTTTTTTTTTTTTTTTTTAGTTTGGACAGGAGTTCCAATTTAGCTTTCAGCCATCTCAAACCTAATTCTTCGTTAGTGATATTAAAGGTACAATTCTCATATTCAATGATTTTAATATATTAAAAAATTAATTTTTTTAAGTACTAATCTTAAGATTTTGAATTTTAAACTTAACAAAACGATATTTATGTATTAGTAACTCACGTCTTTATTATCT